AAGTGATGCAAGAAAAATGTCATGAAGGTAGAAATGACAAGACTCGGCAGCAAATTGGACATGTGGTCTGAGTTGAAGATGAAAGTAGCCCTGGTGACTGGGATGATGGAGGTATCCTTTACTAATTGAGAAGTTCAGAAAAAGGGTTTCTTTTAGGGGAAAAGGTAATGAGTTTTCCTTTGGACATGCTGAATTTGAGATACCTGGAAGGATGTCCAGGTCATGATGTCCAGAAGGCAGTTGGTGATGTGAGACTAAAGCTCAGGAGAGCAGTTAGGGTTAGATAAAGATCCAGGAATTATTTAAATAGAGGTGATAATAGAACTCATGGGAAATGATGAAATCATCAACCAAGGTTGTTTAGAGGAAGATGAGGGCTCAGGTCAGGGCTTTGGGAGACACCTGTAATTAGTGGGCATGACCTTGATGAAGAGAGTAGTATCATAAAAACCTAGAGAAGAGACAGTATTTAAGAGAAATGAGTAATCACCAGTGTCAAAGGCTACAGAGAGGTCAAGAAGAAAGAGGATTGAGATAAAGCCATTATATTTGGCAATTTAAAGATCACTACTGACTTGGAGAGAGCAGTTTCCATTGAATGATGAAGTCATAAACCAGACTGCTGAGGATTGACAACGGAAGGAGAGCAGAGGAAGTGGAGGCATCAAGTGTAGACGACTTTCTTAAGGAGTTTAGCTGAGAAGGGAAGGTGATAGATAGGTAGATAGATAGATGTCATATTTGAATAAAATGAAGGTTTTTTTAAGGCTTAGAGAGACGTGGACATATTTCAAACAGTCTATAGATTGGGAGAGATTGAAAATTAGAAAGAATAAGGATGATTAAGTGAGCAATCTGCTGGAAAAAAAATAGGATTGCGTGGGATCAAGGATGTATATAGAGGGGTTTGCCTTGGGAAGGAGAAAGGTTATCTGCTCCTGAGAAAAAGGGGTGAAGGAGGAGGGGAAGTTATCTGAGTGATGTGAGTTAAGGAGGAGGGAAGATGAGGAAGCTCTTAAATGGCCTCCATTTTTTTTCAGTGATGTATGAGGCAATATCCTTAGCTAAGAAGATGGAGGGAGAAGTGCTGTGGGAAGCTTCAGGAAGGAAGAAAAGATTTGGAATTGTCGCTGTGGTCAGTGGGATGATGAGTCAAAGAGGGCGATGTAAAGGGATTGCCTTGTAGTAATGTCCCAGTTGAGACTATGTAACTCATTATGTCTCCTCTGCCTGTTCCTTTGCATCCACCAACTGTGCTTTGAATCTCACCATCATGTTCCTGGGTTCATGAATGTTCCCTTCCAGGTTCATGACGCATATAACGGTGCAATTAACAATACTCTAAATATAGAGTTCCTTCTTAAGGACATCTATTCTATCCAACAATTTTTTTATTAAGTGGTGATTACCCGCAAGGTTCTACATGTTCAAATGTGTTAAAAACAAACATTTTTTCCCACAAATACCCCTGATCAAAATATGAAATAATTTGATGGTTCCTTGAATCAGATTGTTTTAAGAATCAAATGAAATTAGTTTGTACTCCAAACCAGCATGAAGTAATGTGGTATAGCAAAGAGAAGGCTGGATTCGTAGTCCAGACAACCTCACTCCAAATCTTGACTCTGCCACTGCTTACCTGTGTAACTTGGAGCAAATCACTTCAACTTCCTGGACTTGAGTTTCCTCATCTGTGTTATGGGTACAAAGTTCACAATGTTAGACTGAGGCACATTCTTTCTGAGCAAGATAATAATTTATAAATAAGGCACTGAACCTATTAATAAAGGGGTCATTAGCTTGCCTCGATTTATGCCAAAGACCCCCAAGTGAAGACAACTCATTTTTATCACGTTAGAACAAAGAACACTATTTCACAAAAGTTGCTGAGAAAACTGGGAAATAGTTTGGCAAAAACTAGATTTGGTCAGCTTCTCATACCGTATAACAAGATAAGGTCAAAATGGATACATGATTTAGACATGAAGGGTGATATCATAAGCAAATTAGGGGAGCATGGGATAGTTCACCTCTCAGATTTATGGGTAAGGGAAGAATTTAGGGCCAAACAAAAGATAGAGAGCATTACTGAAAATACAATGGATAATTTTGATTACATCAAATTAAATTTTTTTTTTTGCACAAACAAAACCAATGAATGTAGTCAAGATTATAAGGAAAGCAGGAAGCTGGGAAAAAAATTTTAGAGCACATTTCTCTCATAAAGACCTCATTTCTCAAATATATAGAGACCTGAGTCAAATTTACAAGAACACGAGTTATTCCCCAATTGATAAATGGTCAAAGGATATGACCAGGCAGTTTTTAGAAGAAATAAAAACTATCTATGATCATATGAAAAAATGCTGTAAATCACTATCAATTAGAGAAATGCAAATTAAAACAATTCTGAGACACTACCTCATACCTAGCAGATCGGCTAATATGACAGAATAGGAAAATAACAAATGTTGGAGGGAATGTGGAAAAATAGGGACACTAATGCACTATTGGTGGAGTTGTGAAGTGATCCAACCATTCTGGAGAGCAGTTTGGAACTATGCCCAAAGGGCAATAAAACCGTGCATACTCTTTGATTCAGCAATACCACTACTAAGTCTGTACCCCAAAGAGATAGAAGAAAAAGGAAAGGATATATATATATAAGTTTATACATATGTGTGTGAGTATGTATATATACATACATACATACATATGTGTGTGTGTGTGTGTGTATGTAAAGCAGCTATATCAGTGGTGGCAAGTAATTGGAAATTAAGGGGATGCCCATCAACTGGGGAATAGCTAAATAAGTTGTGGTATAGGATTATGATGGAACACTATTGTGCTATAAGAAATGATGAGTAGGATGCTTTCAGAAAAACTTGGAAAGACTTATATGAACTGATGCAAAATGAAGTAAGCAGAACCAGAAGAACATTGTACACAGTAACAGCAAAATTGTATGATGATCAACTGTGAATGATTTAGTTATTTTCAGCAATACAATCATCCAATGCAATTCCGAAATGCTTATGATGAAAAATGCTGTCCACCCCCAGAGAAAGAACTGATGGAGTCTGAATGCAGATTGGATTTTTTTTAAACTTTACTATTCTTGTATTTTTGGGAGGTCTCTGTTTTCTTTCACAACATGGCTAATGTGGAAATGTTTTGCATGACTGCACATGTGTTGTTGAGTCATTTTTCAGTTTTGCCTGACTCTTCTTGATTTCATTTGGGGTTTTCTTGGCTAAGATACTAGAGTGTTTTGCCATTTCCTTTTGCAGCTCATTTTACAGATGAGGAAACTGAGGCAAACAGGGTTAAGTGACTTTCCCAGGGTCACACATCTAGGAAGTGTCTTAGGACAGATTTGAATTCACAAAGATGAATCTTCCTCATTCTAGGTCCCATGATCTACCACTGTGCCATGTATGTAGCTGCACATATATATTCTAATCAAATTGCTTGCCTTCTCAAGGGAGGAAAGGAGAGAATTTGGAGCTCAAAATTTGAAAAAAAATGTTAAAAAATTGTTGTTCACATGTATTTGAGGAAAAAAAGTTTGTGCGTGTGTATGTATGTATGTATGTATGTATATACTTAGCAAAAGGAGATCTGGGTCAATGTGTTTGTTATTTTAACCACTTTCTTAGGGTAGTTATAACTGTTACAAAGTTTTTTTTTTTAACATCAAGTCTAAATGTGCCTTTCTAAAACTTTTCTGTGCCCTGCCCCACTACTATTACTCACAGTTCTGCCCTCTGTAGACAACAAAACAAGTCAAATACTCCTGTGCGATGGACCTTCAAATGGACCTTGAAGACAATGCTTATGTCCTCTCTACAGTTTAGATAAGATGTGGTTCCAGAACTCATAGAGCTTACAATATATTAGGGAGATAAGATACTAACACTCATAATATGAGGGGCATTAGAGAGTTATAAAAGCACTTTGTGAGGTCTTATGGGGAAGGCCAAACAGGGTATCATGGCTTCATGGATGAGATGGTGACATTTGAGTGAGTTCTTTTGTGTGTGTGTGTGTGTGTATGTGTGTGAGGCAATTGGGGTTAAGTGACTTGCCTAAGGTCACACAGCTAGTACGTGTCAAGTGTTTGGTCTGAGGCAGGATTTGAACTCAGGTCCTCCTGACTTCAGGGCCGGTGCTGTATCCAGTGCACCACATAGCTACCCCAATTTGAATGAGTTCTAAAGGATGAGGAGGAATCTAACAGTTAACAGAGGAAGGGAGGATATTCTAGGGGACCATAGCTGAATCCAGCTACCTCCTTGATAATTCTGGAAACCACAGATCATTCTTAAGTCATTGGAGGACATCCTTCTTAATTATGACTTTTAGAAAAGCTCCTTTCACATTCTTGTTTCTTAAACTGTAGATGATAGGGTTGAGAAAGGCAGAGACCACATTATAGAACAGGGCCAGTTTTTTGTCATGCTTGGAAGAGGACTTGGAGCCAGGCCTCATGTACATGATCATTGCTGGCCCGTAGAACATGATGACAACAGTGATATGGGAGACACAGGTAGAGAAGGACTTGAGCCTTCCCTGAGTGGAACGGATCCTCAGGATGGCAGCAAAGATGCGGATGTATGAGGCCAGGATCAGAGACAATGGGACCAGCAGCAGGATGAAACCCAGGAAAAAATCCACCTGGTCATTGAGAGATGTGTCTGCACAGGCTAGCTTCAGAACTGCGGGGACCTCACAGAAGAAATGGTTGATTTCATTGGGGCCACAGTAGGGCAGGTGCATGGTGAAGACAGTGTAGACTAGGGCACCAAGAAGACCAATAGTCCAGCAGGTGACAACCATAGCAACACAGGTGAGACGGTTCATGATGAGGGTGTAGTGGAGGGGGTGGCAGATGGCGACATATCGGTCATAGGCCATGATGGCATAGAGGATGCATTCAGCAATGCCAAGCGCCAGGAAGATATACATCTGAGCCACACACCCAAGGTAGGTGATAGTCTTCTTTGGGTGGGGCAGATGTGCTAGCATCTGGGGCACAGTGGTGGTGACATAGCTCATGTCCAGCAGGGAAAGCATGCTGAGAAAGAAGTACATGGGTGTGTGAAGGCGGGAGTCCAGGTAGATCAGGGTGATAATGAGCCCATTGCCCAAGAGGGTGCTGAGATAGAGAAGGAGGAAGAAGGTGAAGAGAAGCAGCTTACTCTGAGGCTCATTAGAGAAGCCCAAGAGGATGAATTCAGACACAGAGCTGTGGTTCCCCCAGATGACCTCCTGCATCATGACTCACTTGTCAAGGAGAAACATGACTGAGACCTCATAGAATCATAGATCTGGACCTGGAAGGAACCTCAAAGATTATCTTGTCTAGCTCCCTCATTTCACAGCTGAGCAAACTGAGGCCCAGAGAGACTAAGTGATTTGCCCAACATCAAACAGGGAGTGACAAGGCTGGGATTTGAACTCAGGTTCCATGATACCAAGCTCAGCACTCTTTTCACTGGAGCATCCCATCTTTCAAAGTCCTTCTATGATCCCAGGTGCTCCCGCTAGGGAGAAGGGTAGGAAAATCGGCATAGCAGATCTTGTGGTTATAGAGAGTTAAGGGCTACTTCCAGGGTTGTAGGATCCTGGAGAGGGCTTGCAAGACTAAGGGTGCCTTCGCACATCCCATTCAGATGAAATCACTTCTCTTAGAATGTCAGTGATTACCTTGGGGTTTCAATGAATATGTTCTGCATAAGTGTTCATCACCACCACTGAGAAGTCAAGATACTGTCGATGGCTATGCTTTGTCATGAGGGGAAGACGCTTCCCTGGTGCTCTGGCAAGAGAAAGTGGAGACTGAATGATGTAGTGGAAATTTCACTCAATAAAGCATCCAGAGACCTGGTTCTGGTCCCAGTTCTGACAGTAACCTGTTGTACGACTTTATATAAGTTGCTTTCACTTTCTGGGCTACAGTCTGTATAACTTAAATCTACTGAATGAAGGCTATGGCTGCGGGGACAGAGGATGAACTCCTTACAAATGCAGAGTCACTAGCTGCCTACTTACTCAAAATGATATGAAGACTGCCTCTCAAATGACAGTTTTCTCATTTGTGAAGTGGGGTGCTATAAAAATATCTCCCTCATTCCCACAGCTCAAACTATCACCCTCATACAGATGACTCCTAAACCTATATTTCCAAACCTGACCTCTCCCCAGACTCCAGACCCAACATATCTATTTTGGGGGGGCTAGGTAAAGACTCCATTCTCTGCCTCATTTCTTACCTAGCCTTAATCACTGAATGAGTGTTGCCTCAGTCAAACTGAGACCTGTTAAAGACCTCAACTTAAAAAGGCCAAGGTCTCCTACTGCATCCAGGGCCATCTCTAGTCATCCTGATCTATATCTGGCCACTGGACCCAGATGGCTCCAGAGGAGAAAGTGAGGCTGGTGACTTTGCATAGCCCTCACTCACTTAAATCCAATTCACTTGAAAGTCACGGCATCACCTCCCTAATGTCATGGTCCTCTTTGAGAATGAAGGACAAATAACAACAATAATAATCTAATTGCCTATAACACATTTCTTCCAGGTTCATTCAACTGAGCCAAGTGATTTTGTCATTTTCATTTTAAAACGCATTCCACTTTCTTCTTTCCCCCAATTTATCTAAGGTTCAAACTTTGATGCCATCTTTGACTCTTCCCCATTAAAAATCATAGATGCAAGATTTGAAATGGACCTTACAGATCATGTAGTCTACCCCCACCCCCATTCCACTTTATAGAAGAGAAAACTGAAGCACAGAAAGGAGAAGAGACTTGCCCAAAGTGATAGAAGTGGCCTTGCCACCTGGAATCTGAACTGAAGTCTGCTGCCTATAGAGATGGTGCTCTTCCTGCTATTTTTGAAAATTTTCTATATCTGATCTCTTACGAAATCTTATCTACTCTTCCATTCTTCAATCAATTAGTCAATCAATTTTGTTGTTCAGTCATTGTTTTGGACTCTTTGTGACACCATTTGAGATTTTCTTGGCAGATATTAGAGTGGTTTGCCATTTCCTTACCCAGCTCATTTTGTAGATGAGGAAACTGAGAAAAACAGAGTTAAGTGACTTGACCCAGAGTCACATAATAAATGTCTAAAGCCAGACTTGAACTAATGAAGATGAGTCTTCCTGATTCCAAGCCCAGTGCCTGATCCACTGTGCCACCTAGTTGCCCATGGCTGACACACAGTAGGTGCTTTATCCATTCTAGTCCACTAAATGAAAAACTTTCAATTGCTTCCCATTGACCATCAACTCAAGACCCGTCTTCTCACTCTGGCATTTTAGGCTTCCTCAGTCTGACTTTTTCTCCCATAACTCCACAACATAAATGCTCTCCCATAGCCAGGCCAGTACCCCCATTGCTCTCCATTCAGGCCATACTAATTCTCACCTCTGAGCCTTTGCTCTAGTTCATTCTCCCAGTTTGGAATGTATTTGTCCTTTTTCTCTGCTTATCCAAATCCTCCTAATCTTCAAAGTCCAGTTCTCACCTTCTCATCTACGAAGCCTTTCTGAACTACCCTCTCCTCCATTCTCTGACCATCTGAGAGACTGTTTGCCTGGGCCTCTCATTTGTTCCTGAGCATCTTCTTTCCACAGTCTCTCTCTCTCCAACTATTTCTACCCCCTGAGAAACTAGGACTTCACTTCTGAGTCCCTCTACTCTGATGGATAATTGCTTTTATTTGTATCCCCGGGTCCTAGTGCAAGACATAGAACATGGTAAGGACTTCATGAGAGCTCTCTCTCTCTCTCTCTCTCTCTCTCTCTCTCTCTCTCTCT